AAGCTGTTAGTTTCAAAATGAAAATCTGCTAAATTTGTTTCTAGGTACTAGAAGCCTGGTGGTACATGAGTTCTTTCAGAAAGGGAAACTACACTGTGAGACACAGTAGGGTGTAAGTAGCACAGTGCAATCCACTGCAAAAGCCAGCACGTAAGACTCTCTTAGGCAGAAAATGTATTTTAGAGCTGACGATTCACATTATATTTGCATGTTTGAAAAAGCACAGAGCTTTGTGGGTGCAGTAATTACAAGGTAAGATCCTTACGCTGTTAAAGAAAGCAATCTAAATCTACCAAGGTTAGCAAAGGCTAGAATTGGACAAAAGCTATAGCAATGCCACTGCCCCTGAAAAGCAAAGGCCATCTTTAGCATATGTAAGACTAACTAACGAATGAGGAACTCCATCTGTTCTCAGGAGTAGTCAATTCCTAAATCAGTTCATAAGCACCATGGGCATGAAAAATATGAATCTAATGCAAGGAGATACCACAGCTGAAGGTCGCATGATTGCGTGCACCATGGTGAGAGCTGTGGGCGAAGGAGGGTTACAGCAGACACACAAGATGGAGAAGCTAGAATTGTGGCCAGTAGTTGAAAGTAAGACAGGAGAAAGGGGCCACAAAAAACCATACAGGATGCAGAACCTGGAGGCAGTGAAATTATTTACCGAAAACTAGTAACATAAATTGTCAGCTAATTACTGAGAATGCTAGAAAACTCACAAGCAGTGGTAAAGCAGGATCAGCAAAGACAGCCATTTTATAGGCTGAGGAAGAGAGCGAGATGCCATGACACAAAACAGGTGGGAGGACAGAGCAGATCAGGAAAGGAAGACCTGAGGGCAGCTCTGCTCTTCAGACTAGGACTGGTCATGGCCAAACTACAGGTGCTCCTGGAACCTGCTTTGCAAAATAATTGGGTGCAGCAAATGTGGCTTTGCAAGTGCCTGAGCTCACAGATGCCCTTCTCTTTTCTAGTGCAGATATTGCCTTGACAATGACAATCTCTTCCGACTCTTAACACATATGACTTCTCATGAAGCTGAAATAAGTCTCTTTGCTGGATTTGCAAATTATTTTTTGAGACTCTCAGCTAGTCCATCGATTTCCGGTTACCAGGAATGAGAACACCTTCACATATTTGCTGATTCTCCCATCCAAGAACCATACTTCCATTACACAGTATGTGCCAAGAGTAAATCATGTCCTACAGAGAAGATGCACAAAAAGGCATAGCAGGGCTTTTTATTCAAGCAGTCTACCATTGTAGTTCATAGAACCATTGAACGGTTTGAGTTGGAAAGTGTCCTCTAAAGATCATATAGTCCAACCCCACTGCCGTGGGCAGGGTCACTGGATCAGATTGCTTAAAGATTCCAACCTGACTTTGAATACTTCAGTGAAGGGACATCCACAACTTCTCTGGGCAACTTGTTCCACTGTCTCACCACCTTCATTGCAAAAAATGTCTTCCTCCTAAATCACTTTCAGTTTAAAACCATAGCCCCTTGTCCTTTCACTACAGACTGTGGTAAAAAGTGTTGGTCTGTCAGACAGACTTAGGGATTATAGGGGCTTATAAGCCCCCTTTAAATATTGAACAGCCACGATAAGGTCACCCTAGCGTCTTCTCTTCTCTAGACTTAACAACCCCAACGCTCTCAGCCTTTCTTCATAGGAGAGGTCTTCCAGCCCTCTAATTGTTTTCATAGCCCTCCCCTGGACAGGTCCGTCTCTTTCTTGTACTGGGGACCCTAAAGCTGGATGCAGTACTCCAGGTGGAGTCTCATGAGAGCAGAGCAGAGCAGAGCGGCAGAATCACTCAACCATGCTTAATTTCGTGCAGCCCAGAATATGGGTGGCTTTCTGGGCTGTAAAAACATACTGCTGGCTCATCCAATTTTTCATCCACCAGTATCCCTCAATTTCTTTTCTGCAGGGCTGCTCTTAATCCATTCAGCCCTTAGCCTGTATTGGTATTGAGCATTAGCCTCACCCAGATGCACAGCCTTACACTTGGCCTTGTTGAACTTCAGGTGGTTCACATAGGCCCACTCTTCAAGCCTTTAAGGTCCCTCTGGATGGCCTCCCTCCTTTCCCGCAAGCCTATCAACTGCACCACTCAGCTTGGTGTCATGCACAAACTTGCTGAGGGTGCACTCAATCCCACTGCCTATGTCAGTGATGAAGATACCAAACAGTACTTGTTCCAATATGGACCCTTGAGGGACACCACTCATACGGGTTTTTCACTTAGACTAGAATAGAATTGTTTAGGTTGGAAAAGATCTTCAAGATCATAAATTCCAACCATTAACCTTAACACTGCCATCCCACCACTAAACCATGTCCATAAGCACCTCATCTACCCTTCTTTTAAATACCTCCAGGGATGGAGGTACCACTTCCCTGGGCAGCCTGTTCCAATGCCTGATAACTTTTTCAGTGAAAAATATTTTTCCTAAGGTCCAAACTAAACCTCCCCTGGTGCAACTTCAGGCCATTTCCCCTCATCCTATTGCCCATTACCTGGGAGAAGAGGCCGACCCCCACCTCACTACAGCCTCCTGTCAGGCAGTCATAGAGAGTGATAAGGTCTCCCCTCAGCCTCCCTTTTTCCAGGCTAAACAACCCCAGCTCCCTCAGCTGCTCCTCATAAGACTCGTGCTCCAGACCCCTCACCAGCTTTGAGGCTCTCCTCTGGACATGTTCCAGCAAGGCAACATCTTTCCTGTAGTGAGGGGCCCAAAACTGAACACAGGATTCAAGGTGTGGCCTCCCAGCACTCAGTACAGGGGCACGATCACTCCCCTACTCCTGCTGGCCACACTATTCCTGATACAAGCCAGGATGCCATTGGCCTTCTTGGCCACCTGGGCACACTGCTGGCTCATATTCAGCTGGCTGTCAGTCAACACTCCCAGGTCCTTTTCTGCTTTCCTTTTCAGATTTCCAGTCACTCTTCCCCAAGCCTGTAGCGTTGCATGGGGTTGTTGTGACCCAAGTACACGACCTGGTGCTTGGCCTTGTTGAACCTCATACAGTTGGCCTCGGCCCATCGATCCAGATCCCTCTGCAGAGCCCTCCTCCCCTTGAGCAGATCGACACTCCCACCCAGTTTGGTGTAATCTGCAAAATTACTGAGGGATAAAGATATTAAACAGAACTGGGCCCAGAACTGAGCCCTGGGGAACACCACTTGTGACCGTCCACCAGCTGGATTTAACTCCATTGACTGCAACTCTCTGGACTCAGCCATCCAGCCAGTTTTTTACCCAGCAAAGAGTGTACCTGTCTGAGCCACGAGCCGCCAGATTCTCTAGGGGAATGCTGTGGGAGACTGTGCTAAAGGCTTTGCTGAAGTCTGTGGGGGAGAAGGAATAGCAGTCACATAGGTCACATGAGCCAAGCCTCAGGAATGAGGAAGTGAAGCCAGAAGCACGAACAGCAAGTGATCAGCGCTGTGACTGGAAGACAGTCATGTGAGCGGTGCCTGCAGCAGGGCTGATGGAAAAGTTTTAACGGAAGTTTTTCTTTGAGCACTGAGTATAAAAGCATGCTCTTTTTGAATAAAGCTGATTCTGGTTGCACCTCCAACCGGGGTCTGTGCCTTCATATGCTGCAGAAGTCCAGGTAGACAACATCCACAGCCTTTCCCTCATATACTAGGCAGGTCACCTGGTCATAAAAGGAGCTTGAATTGTTGGACAATGAACCATTGAATGTAACACTTCAGGCACGGCCATCCAGCCAATTCCTTATCCATTAAATAGTACATCCATCAAATCCTTATCTCTCCAGTTTAGCAGCAAGAATGCTGTGTGGAACCGTGCCAAAGGCTTTACAGAAGTCCAGGCAGATGACATCTGCAGCTCTTCCCTTCTCCATCGTAGAAGGCCACTAGATCAGTCAGGCGTGACTTGCCCTGGGTGAAGCCATGTTGGCTGTCTATAATCACCTCCCTGTTATCCATATGTTTTGATGTAACTTCCAGGAAGATCTGTTCCATCACCTTAATGGGGCACTGAGGAGAGGCCGATGAAGGAACTGCGGGCAGGAATAACAGAGCATATACTCCACCCTGTGGGACCAGAAAGGCAATCTTTCCTCCACTCCTTCTACACCTTCAGCTGACACACAGTGCAAATAGTATGTCTAAGGACCACCTCCATCCCTGCAAATTTTCCTTTGACTAAGTAACATCTTTAGAAAGCTATCATTTAGGCAAGGCTTTGAGTTCTATGAATTATAGTTATTTTACACTTTCAAAAATATGACAAAACATTTAATATAATTTTCTTATGATCTCTCAAAGTAGATTATAAAAGTCTGTCATGCACTGCAATTAAGGTGGCAAAACTTCCCCCTAAAACACAAGCATCTGTGGCCAGTATCTAGAGTTGTGTGATCATGCACAGAAACATGCAGAGTAACAAAAGCAAACAATGCACCTCTTTCTAAGAGAAAGAACAGGACAAAATTGTGTAAGTGTACATCATACATTTATTACTGAACAACTCTCTCAACTCCAAAATTGGGCACAGGGATTAAAAATAAAAATTCATTGCACTACCTAGTAAAGCATTACTAGTAACTCTCATAAAAAATGTACAAATTTTGTTAAAAATTTATCAAGCCTTCAAATGATTTGGTTACAGATATTTATAATACATTTAAAACTACATGTTAAATGATACAATATAGTATGATTTAAAGAAAACACTTGACAAAATATGATTCCAACAAACCCCATAAACTTTCATAATCATTAGCAAATCTGAAACACAAGTAGCAAAATGAGGTAACAATGTACCAAAGGAAAAAAACAACACAGTTTTTACAAAGGCCCAAAGATAACTCAGTCAAAAATGTGTAATTAAAATTAATAAGGTTGGTACATCTCATCCCAAGAATTAACACAATGTGTTAACAGCTGTGAAATCACATTCAAGAGTCTGTACATAATGGCATACAACAAAAGGCTTTTTTTTTTTTTTTTATAAAGAAAGCCACAAAATGAGACATTGGAATTATCTGTAGGCCTTGATATCCACTAAAATGCCAAATTAAATTGACAGTTTATGCAAAAAACACAGCAGTGCCAATATGATAAAGCAAACATGTTACAGGTGGGTTTTTTTTGTTTTATATTTTTTTTTGGAGAAGGAGCCAGGTGTTGGCAGAAAGGCAATGGACATAAAAAAAGTCTCGCTGTATTCAGGTGCTGCCAGGCACTATGGCAGGCTGTGGAATTACACACAAATGTGCATAACACATGGCAGTTAACAGCTGAACATGAATCCCCCTCCCTTGACAGCCACAACAGAGAAAACTTGACTGTAGCTTGTCCGAGCTGATTCAGAACATATGCACGTGTGCTGTTGATACACACTAACCACAGGAAGCAAGTCCACATACATCTGCAAGAGTCCCATGCAAAAGAAAGAACCATTCCAGAAGAGATGAGCCATGGGAGTGCAACAATTAAATTCAGGATTTTACCAACTTAAGACCCTCCATCTCCTAGATCTCCCACTGCCTCACCCACCAGGTTTTACTGGGGAAAAAGGGACATTACACATCAAGATTTCTCCGATTCCAAAAAGAGGACTACTTTCCCTTGCCTTCAGAAGAATGTGTCTTGTTCATTTGTATCTGGCTTAGAAAAAGTGCCCTCTTCCCATGCTTCAGACTGAATACTGAGCACAGTAGTGTTAGTTATGTTTAAATCTATACACACAGAATTTTTTTCTTTTGCAGCTATATAAAAGAGTTTAAGTTTTATAAGACATATGTGGCATATGATTTTTCAACAACATGATTTTATTTGTTAAAAAAATAAATTCTATTACATGTAATTTAACCTGCTAGGTGTTATTGTTAAAGAAAAGCCTATTCTTTAACTCCACTGGAAGAGAGGAGAAATTCTAATATTTGAAGTTGATGTAACAGCATTTTTACTTATTTAGTGTTCTTAAGTATGGATAGGTATGGAAAGACTCATTGTTTTTGAGAACTACCTGCATAACTAAACAGAGGGAAGAGCATCTGAAATAGGGCAAAATTGTGCTTTTATTTTATCTGCACCAAGAGCTGTAACTGGTCTGTAGAATCTTCAAAGAGGGAAATCAGCATGGAGAACATCTAACACTGTTTGAAATTATAACTGATACTAAAGCACAGCAGCATACAAGAGAAATCAGAAATTATAAAGGATAAACTTAAAGCTGAGGCTGGCAGCAAGTTGCAGCAGTATTGCTAATTGTGCCATTTGTGCTGCTGCAACCAAAGTAATGACATTGAATTTAGGAGAGGAATTTTGCTGCAAAAAGTGCATCCTTTGAATAACTGCGGTATATGTAGACCTAAATATTTTGCCAGAACATATTGAACGTGTTAACAGTCTGAATGTAATAAATGAAGCTTTTTTTTTTTTCAATAGTCCAAAGAAAACACTACTCAGAGCACTTCAATAGAGGTTATCACCTCCCATTTCACAGGTCTGTGCTGGAAGGTGTTCCAATTTTCTCCTATAGTGGAGTGCTCTGAAAACGTGATTGCAAAAACCGAGGGAGTTCCTTCTTCATATTACACCCATCATGAAAAAATGAAGGGCAAGAAGCAGCATCAGGGCAAGTGAACCCTGCGGTTAGTGACCAAAACCTCCTCTTGTGATACTGTTAAAAAAAAATCAGAAGTTCTCCTTCTCTGAGAAAATGCTAAAAATTTCATTTTATTCATGAAGTTGCAGGATTGAAATTGTAACCTTTGACAAGTTATTTTAATTGTATATAAACTCCCATGACAAATAATTTGTATGTGATTAAAGCCAATGTTTATAAGTTAAAACATTACGTCCTTAGCAAGCAAAATGGCCAAAAGTGAAGAGCTGTTGCACAAGACACTCAGTGTCCTTCCTGCTTCTTTCAGGGAGGAAGTAAGTAACTGGCAATCCCAGCCAGAAAAATTTAAAAGGAGAACAGAAAAGCATTGATCTTCATATCAGCAACTGAAAATGTTAATATTGCTAAATGATTTGTGCGATATTGCAACTTTACATCAATAAAATCACTTGTAAATCAGCCATTTTAAAATCCAGACCTTGTAACATATGCTAAAAACTCCAAGCTTACTCAGGTATGATCAATGCACTCTTTAGTGGTACACATTTAAAGCCTCCAATGAAGGGGAACCATAACAGCTGTTTCAATAGTAGATGGAAAGGTCTTTATACCTCTAAGTACATTGGGGAGGAAATACTAAATGTCTGTAATTGCTGCACCCATCGCATTCAGTGTGCAACTGCAAACACAAGGAAAGGAACCAGTGTACAGTACTAGTACTGTTTAAATAACACACAAGATTATACATTGCAGCATAATTATTACTACGCACATACATTCTCAGTACATGCTGGTATACAGGTTCGCAAACACACATGCACACTCAGTCGCAAGCACACTTCACACATCCTCTTACAAGCAAACACACATTCACACCATTCATTCCCACTCACAGTATCTGAAGGCTCTATATAAGGTAGATTGCTATATTGTTTGGAGCTACCACTTTTTTTTTCTTTTATATAAAAGCACATGCTAAAAGATCACATCCACAGTAATCTCGCAGCAACACTCGGAATGATCACACAAAAACCAGGGAATGTTAGTGCACACACAAAATTAAGCTTAAAAAAAAAAAAAAAAATCTTTGGAGTTCCAATCACACTGTTAGTATAACAATCCCGTAACTGTGAAGACTAGTTATATAAGCTTTGTAATCGATTAAGTCACACAGTGCAAAGTAAGGTCCATTGACCCTTTTGTGTAAAGGGCAGGCTGGAAGCCACATGGGTAAGTTCAATAGATAGTTCATATATACACGTGACCAGGAACACCCAAACCAGATTTGTGCTCTTAAGATTGGTCATTCTGAATCACGATGCACTTCCGAAGCATCAGCTCTACAAATTGGGCAGGTGCGATTTGCCTGTAAAACCAGAAACAAAAGAGGATTTGCTCATTGTTAAGGTAACGTATAAGACAGTGAACATCTGTGACCATAATGAGGTTGCTACCTTCAGCACTCGAGTACTGAAAAGCAATTCAAGAGTACTCAAAACAAGAGAAGACAAAGTATGCTTGTGCCTTTTTTGAGTTTGTTTTGTGATGTTAGAGTGGTATGGTAAGTTTGCCAATTCAAAATTATGTTTAAAAAAATAATTGTGCCTTTTATCTTTAAAGATAAAGCAAACCAGCAAACCAGGCTTTATCTAAGTGGTGGCTTTACTAATACAGGTTCATAGTTACAGTATATTGCAATCAGATGGTTGCAACTAAGAAGCTGAACTGTGTGCCGCATAGAAACCCACCAAAACCAAACTAGCAACCTTGGGCTGCAAATAAATGTCCTATATGAGGGTGTCATGCTGTCACAAGCTCTAGTTATCAGGGATTGTATCTCTTTGTACTCTGTTTATTCATATTCAGTTATTCTCACAGAAAACACAACCTATAGACTTGGTTAAAGCTGAAAGCAGACTAGGGAAAAAGGGAAGGGGTTTTAGTAAGGAGAAAAGGGGGGGGAGGGGGGAGAGAGAGAGAGAAGACAACCTGACAAAATGGGTGTTCAAGTAACAAAAACAAGTAGGTCTAAATTTAGCCCTTCAGTAAAGCACTCACTGAAAAAGTCCTGTGACTCTTATACTTTTATAGCTTCCTTAAAAAGATAACACAGATGAGAAGTAACATTCCTTAAGCTACTGGGAAAGTACTTTTGCCTTCTCATTCCCCTTTTCAAATAAAGGCTATCTTCATTTTAGCAAATGATGAGAAAAAGCCCAAAACAAGTATGTAACATCTGTGATAAAACACTTCCTTTGCAAAGGGCAGAATGAAGAGAACTCTTCCCTGGCCCAAATTCTTTATTTCATAGTTCCAAAATTGAAGGACCACCCACTGTCAACTCCAAGTTTTTCTACGGTAGCCAAATTTTTCAGTGAAAATGCAGATGAGAGCATCAAGAAATGTGGCTTTGCAAGCCAGAGTTCAGAAATTGCTACAAATTTCAAATCCAAACAATAAATGCCAATGAAAGTAACATGTTACTGCTGAAAAACATTATTTAGTAATGCAAGTTAAAATGAGGGTGTATTTTTTCTGTCAATTACTACTGTTATTACTGTTTTATAGTTTATATCATCGTTATTGTTGCTTTGCAGTTTTTGTAAAGCACGGATTGGAGAATCAATTCAAAATTCATTTCTTGCTCTTTCACTAGCAGTTTTGAAATTACTTGAGGACAATTCCATTATTTGGTCACTACTTTGTACTTACATTATTCTAGATATAATTCAGCTCATATAATTTCTAAAACAAAAAGGCATTGTCCTGGTTTCGGCTGGGATAGAGTTAATTTTCTTCACAGTAGCTAGCACAGTGCTGTGTTTTGGATTTAATACCAGAAGAATGTTGATAACACACTGATGTTTTCAGCTGTTGCCAAGTAGTGCTCAGACTACTCAAGGACTTTTTGAGCTTCTCCTGCTCGCCCAGGTGCATAACAAGCTGGGAGTACAGCACAGCTAGGACAGCTAACCCAAACTGACCAAAGAGCTATTCCATACCATATAATGTCATGCTCGGGGGGGTTAGTTCGTTCGGTCGGTCGTTCGGTTCGGTCGGTCGCGGGCAGAGTGGTCGCAGCTCGAGCTGTGTGATCGTGGCTCCGGGGGAGTGATCGCGGCTCGGGACGGGCTGGGCACCGAAAAGGGTACCGGTGGGCTTTTGGTATAGCTGCCTTGGAGGCAGCCAAGCTAGCACTGTGCTAGCTACTGTGAAGAAAATTAACTCTGTCCCAGCCGAAACCAGGACAGGCATGTTCTTCAAAATTCAATAGTTTAATGAAGCAAGAGGTATTCGCTTAGATAAATAATTATCTACCATTTGTAGCATGGAACAGAGCATTCAGTGAGAATAATTTCCTGATAAGAACTGCAGAAATAAACCCACTGTGCCAGGATAAAATGAATACTCATGGACACTGCAGCACTGCTTTTTAAGTAACTTTTCAAGATCCTACATAAACATTTGTTTTAAATTTAGTTGCATTCTTGTGCCTTTTATGAAATTCATTCCCCCTCCTGGCATTTAACATGACTCTTGGGTGCAAAAAGCGGAGTAAGGTGGACATAATGTTGTAGTATCAACCTTCTAACTAGCCACTCTTTCAGGCAAATGTACTTTTAGTACTGTAAAGAGAGAGAGCTGCACAATTAACCAACTGATTTATTTTTTAGTATTTTATAGAAATGTATAGCTGAAGTGAACTGCATTTAGAATAATGAACCTGTAGGGCTACTAGAATTGTCTGAAAAGCATTACACTACTTTGGTGTTAGTCCATCACAACAAAGTTAAACTATAGTTTGTCTTTTCTCATATATAATACAGCATTTCCTATCAGAATGTTAAATATAAAACTATGTTTTCCTTGTTATCTGGTTTCACCTCAGGGTGAAAACAGGTCATGTTTTCAAGCTGTCCTTTGGAATAATAACTAACTCTTACTTTACAAAAGAACGGATTTCTCATGTATTGATATTTGACTAAAGGATTTAAGATATTAAGAAATAACCAAATACTGTGAAATATGAGAGTTGACAATACTAAGAAAAGCAAAGGGACAGCCTCCCTCTTGTTAATTTTTTTTCCTCCACTGTATTACATCTTCTTTCACAAGTCTTTAACCTTGCTTAACCAGTGAAGTATAAATTAAAGTGGGCAACCTAATGCACTGTAAAGGAACATTTCCTTTCACCGGCTCACGCTACCTAAAGAAGTGGTACTGTACATAGCATTATACCAGCAGGGCAGATCAAGCCTTTCACACATAGACAAGCCACAAAACTTTCTTCAGTATCTTTTTTTGCTCCATAATTACAACAAACAGTGGAATAAGGTTTTGTTTTGTTTTTTAAATAATCAGATTGGATCACTAACCTCTTATTTAAATCTTTCACTAACAACACGGTGAAACTGAAAAAGAATCAACTGGATTCCATAGTTCTAGAACTATTCCTAGAGAGCAAATACTTTCCTCAGAGGGACAAGATTAATTCAGTCAAATGCAGGGACAACTGGTAACTTTTTTCTTTTTTTAAATTGTGGAAGAAAGTTACAAGTACTGAAAGCTACAATTTTTACCTTCCCTTGCAGAATTCATCAATCTGATTGTTGGCTGGAAAATGTGAATTAAGTGCATGCGGACATGATTATACTATTAACACATAAAACAAGTTGTCAAATACATAAAGGAATGGACAGAAGCAATCTATAGCTCAAAATATCTTCCAGTTATCCTCACTTCACTTCCGGGTACTTGCTGCTTAACTGTAACCAAGTTTAGACAGAGGCAGTAACTAAAATAGGGTGGTGTTCCAGGTAATTTGTTACAGTTTGCAAAGCAAAATAATCTTCATTTCCATACACCGTCTTCGTACCAGCGTAACTAAACCCACATGGTGTAAATATATTGCGTTAGCAATCCTACAGTATGATGCTTTAACCTTGTCTTGCTTATTTTGCATCCAGATCTGGAACACACGATGTCAATACAGGTGAGTGGGTAGAACTGCATCCCCTTTAGGTTGGTGTTCTGAATTCAGTTGCCAGTTCGTTCCCAGTTGTAAGTACTAAATCTAACAGTAGAACTACCATACTGAGTCCCAAAAAAGCTTAACTCAACATACTTGTCTGGCTCTTGCAACCAACATCAGGTAAGAAAGATCATAAAAACAGGACAAGCATGCGTGATACTTCCCTGACGTGTTCTTCTAACTTTCAGCAATCTGCAGATCAGGGGCTCTATGAATCAGAGGTACATTTTTTTTTTTGCATTAATAGCCTAAAAAGAGCTGTCTTTTTAAAAATCAACATAATCAATTTAACCTATATGGACCTATAGCATCCACTATCTCACAGGCTGTGTCAAATGATCTTAGCTCTTTTTTCATAAAATGAAGTGAATACCTTTCCTGGGTCCTTTGTCCACACCACAAATGACTTAGCAATTTTCCTGCAAATCTAGTGTGAGCACTCCTTGAGAGGAGTAAGGGGACACTGGAGAATACCACTTGAATAGATATAATCTACTCTTAATTTGCAGTTACTGAATAAAACAGCATACATCTAGCGTAAATACATTGATAATATGGGCGGGGGTGTGCCTTTTTAATCTGACAATAAAACATTCCTCTTGCTGCTTCTCAAGTGAGTACATAGATTCAGATACTGAAGTACACCAATTCTACTGAAAGTTACAAGCATTGTTGTGGGAACATTTACACTGGCCTTAGATTTTATAGAAGTCTTAGACTACCGTGGTCACTATAGCCCAAGAGCAGCTTCATATCCCAGTTTTTAAAATCCTTCTCATTATTCTTGACATCTTACTAGCCAAGAGTGTTGTCAATATTAATTTTTTTATCGATTTTTTTTCATTCTCTTCACTGAATATTTCACTGTGTGCCCACGATATGTATGCATTTTCTTGCTTGTAAGAAGCCATAAAGGCAAAGGGGTTTAGTTTCTTTTTCCAAAATAACAGACACCATCCATAATTCTCTAGGCACTGTAACCTGTTTTCACATAGGATGACTGCAGTTTCAAATGGTCTACAGAATAGACTACACACAGATTGAACTAAAGCTGAATAGAATAAAATGCCAAAAAAAGCTGAGGCGAGATGGGGATCAATACCTTGTTGGCTGAAGATCTGGCTCGTGCAGCTTGTAGAGATGTCCATGTATCATCAGCTACTTATTTGTATTTCCTATTCTTCACACTTTCTCTACTGCTACTATTTTCTCTATCTTCTCTCTCTTACTGGGCTGCCCTGATTCTAGAGCCTTTCTTTTCTGCTCAAATTTTCTTGGAGGGATACATCATCATTTTGTAAAACTGTAATTTCTATTTGTATATATTACATTTATACAGATATGTATATATGCATACACATAGAATATGTATGCATACACATTTTATTTGCCCCAGCACCTAACATTGATAGCAAAGTGGGGGAGGGAGGTATTAGTACTCATTCTTGTTGTGCAGGGTATGTAAAACAGTTAAAGCCACCATCATCACAGAACTCATACTTCCTGTATTGTTATGTTACTTTTTTGTTTTCAAGTCTTCTTTAATTTTACAGATTACCTGAATTCCCAGTCATTGTCATTTTGTGCAAATGGAAAATGCAGAAATATGTCAATGAAAATAATTATCTTCAAATTAATTTTTCCTTTTTCCAAACATTATAAAGAAAATTCCTTCATCAGTTGTTAGAAAAATATTGTAAATAGGCAGTGCTTCTACTCTGTTGGCATTTAGAAATGTGAAACAAGATGAAATTAAGTGAAATAACAAAATACTGCCACCCCGCCCCCCAAAGTACACAATTAATTCCCTATATAAAGTTTTTTTTTTTTACCTTCAGCCATTTATCGACACACTTGGCATGGAACTCATGGTTACAGGGTAAGACTCTAAGTAGCTGCCTTGACTCAAAATCACACATGCATACCACACACCTAAAAAGGACAACAAAGTTTGAATGTATCTGCTACGCAAGAACAACAAATACATATTCCATACAAAACTTCACAGGTACGACTGCAACATGGTAGCTCTTCTATCCCTTGGGTAGCTACAGTTATCTATACCTCTAGCTGAAGACGAGTAGTGTGACAACGCAAACTGAGAATAGCTGTTGTGCAGCTTTTTTTCTGTGCTTTCAAATCACAAAGCAAGCACTCCTGCCCACAGGAGTTCACAGACCCAAGCACTAGAACATATGTTTAATGAAAATTCAAAATGGCAGAGATAATGATCTACAAAATTAATTCCCTACTGATACTAGTAAATCACACCAAGGGTCACTGAAACTGGAATATCGGAGAAAAACCCTTATAATGCAGTTCGAACATTAGACTGTATTTGGTCTCTTTAGAGTCCACTTTAACTTTAAAGTCACTTTAACTACCATCATATCTATACTGCCCTTTCTATTTGGTTGTGCAGATCTTTGAAACACCGTCAGTTAATGGGTTTTAAAAATAAGAAGATGCACTCTTAAACCACTGACCAAGCTCTATCAGGTGCACTTGAAACTTCAACACTTGAAGCTATGTATGCTGAACAAAACCTAGAACACCTTTCTTCCATTTTAATTTTTTAAATGCTGAGGAACTAATTTGAAACATAGCTAAATGATGTGAGAATACATAGAGGTGTTAAAGTAAGGATAAATAGTATTTGGTCTGGAAAGCAATCCAAGAAAAAAAGAAAATTAAATTGTTTAAAGACATGACTGCTTTTAAAGCCCTTCTGGCCTAGCTGAGTCTGAAAGTTAAATGAAAATACAGCCACCTGAATTACGGACCTTTGAAAGAGACCTATGTACTTACAATGTCTGTTCTGACTGGTGGTTGTTTGGATTGAACCTGTAGGATGGAAGCTGTTCAATGTCCGCCTTTGTCAACCCTCGTGGTTTGGCTTCTCCCAGACGTTCTGCCAAATTCAGCAATGCCTGCAAAACATGGAAACTGGACGTTTAAAAATTCACTGCTCAAACAGGCTCTGGTTCCATTATACCTCACTACTCCAGCTGGTAGCACAAAACACCCTTCTATCAAGAAATGTTTAGAACCTTAGTTATCCCCTACAACACAATCCTCATGGAAAGTCCTTCAGAATTCCACTACCTTTCTAGTTATGTTAAGATGTTCTCTTTGGGATTTCAGAATGGCCAGGACCCAGCCTCCAATTAGTCCCATGGCAGCATGCATAGCTTGGTAAGTATTTTGCTTCTGAAGGATCCCCTCACTGCACTACGAAATTAATAGTGCTGGTAAACCAGAAAAAAATCCTCAACAAATTTCCTTCCCAAGGATATGTGAGTCTGGTCTTGTGAGAGAAACCAAGAATTTAATGGGACAGGTTCTGATTCCCACTCCACACATTGGGTTAGCTGAACTTAAACACAGAGATTTTATCTTGAATCTGGAAAACAAACACATACCATCAAACCTTAAGCACTGCTTTTGCTAAATTTTATGTTCATTTTCTATAAGCCACATGCTGCAACTAAAGGCCTCTCATGTAAATAATTTGCACTCTGTCATGTATGTAACTTGCACTCCTTCATAACGGACCTAGGAAAAATATCACTACAAAAATGATGGAGAACCAAGGCGTAGAGAAATTAAAAGACTTGGTGAAAGCTGCAAACGGTACTGATCATAAAGAGATTTCTAATACTGTCAAACCTAGGGCCCAAATTCTCAGAATTAAGATGATGCTTCTTCTGAACTAGCACAGAAGTTATTACAGAAGTGCTCATTGTTAAACTGAAAATGTGCAACTACATAGAGGTCTTAAGCGGAGCACAAGCAAAGAGATGCAAAAGTAAGGGCTGATCATGACTGAAGAGAAATCAAATGGAATCCAATAGTCTCAGAACCAGCAAAGACACAACAGCTGGGACTGCCCCATAATTATCTAGGATATTAAAGAGGGTTCTACATCTATAGATGTGAATTACTGTACCCTCCTGAGGGCCAAGAAGAAAAGGCAGGCAGTTTTATAAACATTACATTTAGATGAATTAATCCTATGACATTAACACTACTCTGCAAAGTTACACATATAAAACCAGTAACTTACCCTGTTCTTTTGAAAGTGCTTCACTTCTGATTGATACTTAAAATCAATTAATATTCAAAAGGAGAAGAGTAGCATGTAGGACATAAAAGCTGAACAATTTAATGATTACTAGCCTTGGAAGGGTGGATTCTGGGAAAGAGCAATAGGTAAAAAATAAAGCTAAGCACTTCTAATATCCAGTATTACAAAAAAATCTGAAAGGATGGTTTCTGGATTCTGTCTTCACAGTCATTACATTTATTTGAAAGACAAAAGCAGGATTAAAAGCAAAATATAATGAAATTCTATGTATTGCTTGAGCTAACATCTGTTTTTTAAAGGTAGTTGTAGTTCACACACCAACCTCATAGTTTTCTACCTCTCCATCTTCCACATCCAACTCAAAGCTGAAAGCTGGTCCAACTGCAGGTGGCACTGGGAGCATTGATCTACCATGAGAGCAAACAATGATAAGATTCAGCACCTCGCTGAAGGAAAAGCACAGAAACATCTGGCAGAGATGAAGTTACCTTATTGATCCCTCTCAAATTAACAGGTTCTCAGAACTGGCAAAAATGTTAAGTTTGAAGTCAAGAATAGACATTTGAAGTGAAAGAGTCAAATGAAAAAACTAAATCTAACACTCCTTGATACTGAGAGTGCTGCCTTTTTAATTGCATGCATGTCTCAACTGATACTTCCAAGCAGGCTCAGCATTATTACAAAAACGGATTATCACAGATTATGGAAAGCTAAAACTGACAATGAATTGATGTTCTGGTTTTAAGTATGTTTATTTTCTTTAAGTGGATAAAATATCAACAAAGATAAGGAATTCTAAGTTCACTTAGCTCTCCAGTACAAAAGCCTTGAAACTTTTGTAAGCCTAAAATACACAATGAAGATAAATAGGATATGCTACTGGACCAACTTCCATACTGAAGGCAAGCACAAACTCACTTTCTCACATATTGTGATGTTGGCCGAAGCAGAATCTCCAGATAGAGAGACAAGAGAGAGATGTTTTTCTAATTTTATATTCCACAAGTGTTTTTACCCCCTAAGATAGTCCTATGGGTCAAAAGTTAATGCACAGACATAGCAATCACAAATTCACAGCTCTAAAATACACTAAAATCCCAGTGACGTCTTCGGGGATTACTGTGCCACATTATGTCCTCAATGGACAGGCAAGAAGCTATGACATCACTCTCAGACTGTAAGATGCAAAGTTGAACAACTTCACTGGATCAGATTTCTGGTGCCGTTTTCATGCCATGTCTGAAATTGCACGGAGAGAAACTACAGATCTGGTGCCAATGACTGATTATTTCCTTGTCAACATTACCTTTGCCACCAGAAAATAACCTTTGTTTTCCAAACATTTTGTGGTTATTTCCAAAACAGAACATAGAACAGTAATAAAATCTCCTGTCACATACCAAAACTCTCCCACAGAGGGTCTACCATAACACACTACAGATAATTCCTAAATCTTAATGGTCCCACCTATTTTCCAGAAACAGCTAATCAGGGGCAGAAGAGAAATTCAACAGCTGTAACAGATTAGTAGTTCAGCCAATGAAGAGTAACACATCACAGAAAGCTCCCACCCATTCTGTTTCATAATTAAGAACCAAACCAAACGAACTTACTCTGTAAATTAAGACTCCCACAACTTTATCCTACAGTGTAATCATGTCTTTGTAAGAGTATCCAAGAACCAAGTTTTAAAATTTGTTGAAGATTTTACGAAGAGATCAGCAACAAGAGGCTACTGTGACTCAAAAGTCCTACAAAACTGTATTGGACAAAATTGTTCACTTATATTTTTCCTTGCTCAAGGGTCTACGTTCTTCAAAATAGGCTGAAAAATTTACACAGAAATGGAAGTTCTCCTCTGTGGGACAGCTGAACTACGCCTGTTCTCTGGTAGAGTCCAGCCATAAAAAGTGCCGAGACTCCTACTGAAAGTCAGGTGACTTCTTTATAGCCTACACAGAAGCAAATTTACTTTGAACTTACAGCACATAAGGTAATAGGCTGGGATGGTAAGGGTGTGGTGGTATTGGCTGCTGTGATCGGTATCTGCTGCGCCCTGCGAGTCTTCGAGGCATAAAAGGTGGGTAAGGCTGCAAGAAAGAAGAAAATAAGCTTCAACTGGAACTTGAGGAACTGGAACTTGTGTCCAGTTCTGGGTTCCCCAGCACAAGAGAGACATGGACATACTGGAGAGAGTCCAATGAGGGGCCACTAAGATGGGACTGGAGCATCTTACATATGAGGAAAGGCTGGAGAAAGCTGGGACTGGTCAGCCTGGAGAAGAGAAGGCTCAGGGGGATCTTATCAATGTAAATAAATACATGAAGGGAGGGTGCAAAGAAGACGGAGCCAGGCTCTTTTCAGTGGTGCCCAGTGACAAGACCAGAGGCAATGGGCACAAACTGAAACACAGGAGGCTCCGTCTGAACATCAGGAAACACTTCTTTACCATGAAGGTGACTGAGCACTGGCACAGGTTGCCCAGAGAGGTTGTAGAGTCTCCATCCTTGGAGATATTCAAAAGCTGAGTGGACACGGTCCTGGGCAACCGGCTTTAGGTGGCCCTGCTTGAGCAGGGGGGTTGGACCAGATGACCTCCCTTCCAACCTCATCCAGTCTGTGAGTCTGTGATTCAACATTTTGTTTTCTTAATCATGAAATAAAATGAAATCTGAATATTGAAATCCACTTTCAATAAAGCATTATTAAAAAAACCCAGCCTCTGCTCAAATCCAAAAGAACCTCAGCCTCAATTTGAAACTATTCCCATCAATAACATACAATCATACCATTCCATGTGAAAAAGTAGCAACACACAACAGAAATCCTTGCAAGCTCTTATGTACTTAGTCTACATGCAGGCTGGTTTGGGAAACAGGTCTTGAACTGCTGACTCTCTTGCAAATACAAAAATCCAAGCTTTAGGCCTGGTGCTATTATGCATGCTTGCACAAAAGTGGTAGAAATCTTAAAAAAAAAAAGGTCTTTAAAAAAAGATTTTAAAAAAATCACGGTTTTTAAAAAAACCTTTTAAGCAGTGGTGTCTATTTACATTTATGATGAAGAAGGATTGAAGCCTTTCAAGTGTACATGGAGAGTTTGATTAAAATTTCTGCAGCTGGACAATGCCTGAAGAGACAGCCAAGCCAAAAGCTTCAATGTGTTCTTTCCATGGATAAAACATGGCTTTAGTGTCATACTTTTTTTCATTTACATACCAAGATTTTTACTTGCCTATTTAAGTTTCCATTACAATTGTTCAAAATTCCTTGCATTACCTACTAAAATGAGGACATACATGGTAAAAAAAATTCCACTTAAATGCAAACTATATTTTTCCAGAAATATTCAAAGCCCTAAAATTTCTTTAGTCATTTAAAAAACTGAAATTAATGTACCATTATTGAATTTGTATTTGCAGGCCTTGAGACTTTTTTATTTTGAAACAAAGAGCACTCAAAGACTTCACTAACATGTTTTCGTTCTGTGTTTGAATTTTAAGAAAACGCAAAAGTTCAACAGCACCAATGACTAACCTAAAACTCCTAACTTCACAGTGGAAACATTATTGATAGGTAGTCATGGTCATGCATAAAATTAAGATACGAATATAAACACAAAAGAGGCAGGGTCTTTTTCTTGAAAGTAAGATCTCAAACTAGACATAGCAAATACTGCTTTGTGAATTCTCCAATCCAAAAACGTAATTAGAAACTGCTGTGTTCACTGAATGAAAGAGAATCAGAAATGCAGCCATTCCATCATATCTTTAATATAAATAAAATTTAATAAAGGTTTAGGATTGCTTTATTAAAGACCATATGATTAGCTATAATAAACCTCTACTCTACTCCTCAGCAATATACAACCCAGAATGAAGCATCAGAGAGGACAAATGATATTTGGTAAACCATGGTATTTTGTTCCTTATCTAATTTAAAGACTGAACTTGGAAATCAAGAAAGCCTCACTCCAACCAAAATGTTTGTGATTACACTGTAATTCATCTAACAAGCACTCTGAATAAAATACAAGCAGTTTTTGAAAGCTTTTAAGTGTCTTTGTCTCCAGAGTGAATCATAGTGACTGAAAACTTCATTGAAAATTTGTACACCTTTAGTTTAACAATGAGCTTTTTTTAAAATGGTGGAGACTTATCTGAACCTTTACACAAAACGCAGCAAGCAACTAACTAGGTTGTGTGATTTCAAGGAGACTGATTAAAGAATTTATCTGTATATTCTGTAGACACAGGGCCTAAATTTCATTCGCATTTAAAATTTTAAATAACAATATGCCTCAAACTTTCTGTCAACTTGATGCACAGGTCAAAAAAAAAATTCAGACCCTGTATTTGACTTCTAGTTATTTCTTCAAGCATTAGACAGGCAGAAGGTTTTTTTTTTTAAAAAAAAAAACAAACAACAAAACACATAGAACAACAATACCAATAAAAAAAAAATCTCAGGACTAATGTAATTGCAGATTGAAGTGCACCACAGATTGCCTAGCAGTAGCACTGATACTGGACATTCCACAGAAGCACAGAGTTCAGTACAGACTTTATCCTGCACCAGGTTTAATTTTTTTTGTGCTGCTGCAGTTGAACTGCCTGTAGATCCCCAGAAAGTTGGCTTAAACCAAGCTTGGCTGTCATGGTGCAGTCTGAGTTATAGAAACGCTCTATACAACTGCTTGCAAACACATAGAAGAACTATTTTTAAAGCATTCTAGCTTTCCTGATTTGCGGAAACTCAACATATGGTGAAGAATCAGCTAAAAGTGACAGCAGCTTTTCTAAACTTTACTAATTAAGTTTCTGCAGTACAAGTCCTTGGCTGTGTGGCAACATGGAATGTTTTCTAAGTAACTGCTACGACACTCCCCAGATAATGTTGTCGGAAATCATTTGCCGGTATCACTAAATTACTCTTAACTTGATTCAAACCAGCTTAAAGAAAATACCACAGTATGCAGCTACAGCCAATAATGGAATACAAGTGCAAGAAGTGCTACTTTTCAACAAAATGTACTACGGAATAAAGATCGTCAATGAGAGTGTAACACAGAAAACAATACTTACTACGCCAAATGACACCTCCTGGTGTAAAGGATCATGGGTTAAGAATTGGAGAGGAGTTGAGGGAGGCAGTGTTGGTGGATGCGCTGAGGGAGGGTATGTAAAACCTCCTACAGGAAGATGTTCTCCAAGTAGTTCTACTTCATTTTCTATCCTTTGAAGTGGCTAAAAAAACCAAAGAGATAGGCTTTGTTGCAATAATAGAGATGTAATCTTTCCCCAGTAAAGAACTGCAATCCCAGCTGTATATTCTGAGCTGCTGTGGTCAATTTTATAGGGTAAAAAAAAACAAACCAAAAACCAAACATAAAAAAATTACAGGTATAATTGTACTCAGTTTCACATAGTAACTCTGTGAACAATTCCTGTGTCATTAACACTACCAAAAACCAAAGACAACACTACACATTTGATATAAATTCACCTTTTCCAGCTAGCCATGCTTATAGACCAGGAATTTATGCGATCTAGCAAATATAGGAGTGGCTGTAATTTCCTGTGTCTTGCATTTTTCAGGACAATTATTTGCTCTCCTTCTTGCCAGGCTGCTCTCACTGTACAACTATGCGAGAGAAAAAAATAAACAACCATAGACAAGAACTGAAATTGTGCCAGAAAATCTGAAAAGTGGAGAGGAAACATGACGACTCCAGTGGATTAAACTGCTAACGATATTCAGTAATCAAGCAGATGCTTCCCTAGGAGGGTCATGCAAGCAGTCCTACTAAGAACACACAGTCAAGAGGTTTCAGAAGCATGAAATTCCAGTAACTGTAATCTAGTCAACTGTAGTACATCAGTCAGGCTCAAGAGTGCTCAAGAAATAACCAGGAATTGTCATTGTTTCATTAATACACCTTTCTGTTCCTGACATTGAATTCCACCATTTCGAGAAATTCAGCCAAGAAAGCCACCTTGTGGAACCAAAGGGATATTCTGTTTTCCTGTTATGCTGAGCAAACTTTGAACACAAGGTAGTCTTAAACCACTAAGATACAAGCTTTTTGCCAGAGCTGAAAGTTGACAGGCAAGCCTAGTCAATAACCTAAGAAAGCAACCCAAACTAAAACCTGAGCCCATACTTTTCTGAAGGCAAGTCTTATAAAGATTACCACTAAACCCCTATCTTCCTAGCTGTTGTCCCATCACTGTAACAAAGTGATTACAAACCTATCCACACCTGAGACATGGCACTGAGAACTCTCAGCATTGTTTGTAAGTAACAATGAAGCTATTTTCTATTTCTGTATTAGTGAAATACTAGCATCTTCTAGTCAGAGGGGCAAACAACTGGACATGAGTATACAGATAACCCCACAGTAAGAGCTGTAGGCCAGAACTGAAAATCTAATTTCCTGCCAAATCCAAAACAGGGTCATATTTTCCCATGTCTGCATAGTTCCTATCACTAAGCCAAGTCTGCTTAAGCAGAAGGCATCAATAACTTTTTTAAGTGAGGAAAAAAAAAAGCAGAAAGGGAGACTGTATGCTCCTGAATATGTCTGGATGACTTAAGTTTATTATCTCCTAGGAAAAACACTGGTCATTTAAAAATTAACTTAGAAGTAATACAGAAGAAGCATGTAATGTAAGTAACATTCTGTGCTTTCTTCTCTTTTTGCTAAGCTTTTCTCCAAGACCACTACTGCACTACACAACCTCCTCTGGATTCTCTTCTGCTTCCTAGGAAAGAAATACCTCACGGAATAGTTGGTGTAGCAAATATACATCTTTTTGACAGAAGTAAAGGCCTATGAAGAAACAGCACAGACAATAGCTGATGAAATCTGAAGAGAAAACACGGTGAAGTTTAAAATAATTTTTTCATCTTCACACTAAATGGTTACAGACTTGCTAAGAAAACACAAGTGCAAAACTGATTACTTTAAACAAAATCCTTCTCTTTCCTCAATTAGGTATCGGCGCTATTTACCCATCCAACCCCACCAATTCTACAGAGAGGGGGGTAAGAAGCATTACTTACCGACCGTGACTGCTGTGCTTGGAAAGGAACGAATTGTCCTGGAGGAGGCAAGTGAGGAGGGTGGTGTGGAGAGATATGAGGAGGATGCAAAAGGAATGGGTCACTAGAAATGAGGGGTGGAAATGCTGCATATGGTACAGGTAGGTGCTGGACTGAGCACGCCTGAAGCATCTGAAATAAAATCAAAACAACATATTTTTGTCTTTAGCGCAAACATTCCCTACAGAAGATTCTGTATTTATTATGGAAAGAGACTAAAAGAAAGTAGTTGTCTTGCCTACTTGGAAAAGCCTCCAAAATGCACATAAATTGTAACTCATTAAAATATACATGGAACAGTGATCAGTACAGAACAAGCTCTAGAAGTACCATAGTGTGACAACTGCCAAGTGCAAAGTAGCTCTCGCTTCTCATGAGGTCAGTGGGAGTTAGGTTTTTCAATACTCCAGGATTAGAGGCTCCTAAGGGATGAGCAGATACATTTATCCTAGTTAATTTTATTTTCCCTATGTATTATCTTCAAAATGACATGCCAAAGCAATGGCCTTGCAACTATTTTAAGCTGTAGATGGAGCTGAGGATCTCCCAGCTGTCAGACGGTGCCTTAAAACCTCTGCTACCTCATATACTAAAAATAATTTATATGTTCTGCTCAGTTCTACACTTTGAGGGGAGCCTCATGCTCTGAAGGCAGCTCCTAAGTGACAGCTACTGTGGGAAATAGCCCTTTTTCCCTCCTCTTTGAAATTCCTCATGCAAAAGCAACCTTGGGCACTGAGGTCTGAACACTGATGAAG